TGGTTCCAACAAGTTTTCAATCCGACAAGTTGGCTTACTCAGATCGGGCTTTTCCGCTGCCGTTGCCGTTCCGCTTCCGCTGTCATTGCGCTTGGACCTTTATTGACAAGTCAGGATTTGCCTTACATCCGTACAAAATAGGCTCGCGCACTTGTTTTGTCATTCTTCGCCATCTTGAACACTAAACATGGAATGTAAACACCAATCATAGTCTTTTTCATCAATGACTTCCAGCTATGCTGCCGCTCTTCGCATGTCGGTCCCATAGTCGTTTTTGGCAAAATTGAGTTTTTCAATGCAAATGGTAGCTAATTACCTATATTTTCATAATACTGCATGAACTCAAAAAAATTATTCTCAAATAGTTTGGAATGACAGTCAAATTGGTTGTCCCATCACATAAGAAGCAATAGGCTGTTTTTATGCACCACCAATATAGAGGCGCTAGGCTATTATGAGAGGAAACGTCAACCAAACCGTTTGTTTACATCAAAATTACATTTTTTTACATCTCAAATTAATGCATATTTTCATGCATATCTTGCATATTTCCATCGGGAGGGGTCTTATTTTATTATTGTTTACATATTTGAACAGATGTACAGCTCAAATAACACCATATTAAAAACCTGGAAAATCATAACTGGGGAAGTTTTAAAAATCTTCACTTTTCTTAACAAAAAGATGTGGAAGCACCAGCCGGATCACTGCAAAATTGATACAGAAAACAAAATATTCCATGTGGATGATGGTTTCAAGCACCTACGATGGATAAATTAATCAAAAAAGGTAAAAAATATTTTCCTCTTCCTATGCTTCATGGCGAAAATTTCAGCCCTCATCACTTTTTTGATGGTTCCCCTATTCACCACCAGAGGCTGAAACGATCGGTTAGTTTCTACTGGATTCAAAACTTAAAACGCGATTTTCTCGGTTTGCTGATTTTCGTTATAGGACGGACATGCGAAGAGCGGCTGTATACCTCAGCGAAATTTTTCATTCCTACGTGCAATATTTCAAAAGTTACAGTGATTTGAAGGTGTCCGGATTAATGTGGACAGACCTTATCGGCTATGACTGGTTTAGATACACTACCAGTCATAAGTAAGGACTCGCTTGAAAAAAGTATTGCAACACTCATGTTGAATATTGCACCACCTTGATAAGTTTAGCATCACCCCACGTTTTCACATTCTCTTTGGGTGATGCTAAACTTTTCAAAGTGATGAAATATTCAATATGAGTGTTGAATTACTATTTTCAAGCGAGTCCTTACTTATGACCGGTAGTGTATCTAAACCAGTTATAGCCGATAAGGTCTGTCCACATTAATCCGGACACCTTCAAATCACTGTAACTTTTGAAATATTGCACGTAGGAATTCAATCCCGTGGGTTCAATCCCAAGTTCCTTCGCGTTATATGATCGTTAGGACATCATTTCAGCTTATCGATTACCAAAACGAACCCTGCTGCAATCCCAACCCTCTTACCCAATATCCCAGTGATTCCTCGTGGAAGTGCAGAGGTGTTTTCGGCTTCCATCAAAGCGAGTGTCACGTCAACACATTCCTACCCATTCCTTTCTTGACCTGCGTTCGGGAGCGACCGGCGCTGGTATTGCCAAGTTGTAGATCACCAGTTTTTACACATTTAGGGTGATTGTTAGTCCTAAGCATCGTCTATTGGTTTTCTGTGTAATTACAGCTGATCTGGCAATCACAGAGTAGCAACCGTGGGCGGTCAATGCTCATGCTTAATGGGTTATTTGAGCGATTATAAGTTTACTTTGACGATTTCAAGGCTGTTCGATCATTCCATGTCAAGACTTTTCAGCCTATTCAAAATATTTTGGTAATTTCACGGTAATTTTGGCATTTTAAAGCTGTACGCCAATTTGACATTGTTTTACCATTTTCGTTGTGTTTTTGGCATGAAATATTCGGAATATTTTTGGCATAATTTTTCTTGATTCTTGAGCTATTTTGGAACTTTATTGGAAAATCAAAGCCATTTTGAAATATTTGGTGTGTTTTGAGCCATTATTACAAATTTGTTTTAGATTTTTCTTAAGGTCACTTTGAAATTTTTGGCGTGTTTAGGACCATTTTGGAGTTTCAGGCCATTGTGACAATTTTGAGCTATTTTTTGCATAATTTTTCTTGCTTTTAAGCCATTTTGACATGGAATTTTTTTGGGGTTTTGAGGCCATTTTGGAATTTTAAGCTAGTACATTTTGACATGTTTGGACCATTTTCCCGTTTTTGGTTCATTTAGACAGTTTTACACGAATTTTGGCGTTTCCTGGCTATTTTCGAATTGTAAAACCAGTTTGAAAAGTCTAGACCATTTTGTCATTTTTAGACAGTTTTAGGCGGGCCAACACATTTTGATTTTTTTTTTTCAAACACTTTGGAAAGTCCATTTTGACATTTTTCGTCAATTTTTCTCATGTTTTTGGTTTATTTTGACAGTTTTTTTTACGATTTATGGCGTTTCCAGTCTTTTTTGGCAATTTTAAAGCCAGTTTAAAAAGTCTAGGCCATTTTGTAATTTTTCGATAGTTTTTGCCGTGTTTTGAGCTATTTTTTTTCCACCAAAATGGAACAAAATCCGAGAAAAATGGTCCAAAAATGTAAAAATGGACTTTTCAGAGTGTTTGAAATAAATCAAAATTGCCCAAAACAAGCCAAAAACTGTCCCAAAATGATCAAGCCTACACCATTTTTCTCGGATCCTAGCCAGTTTGATTTGAGCCTAGACTTTCAAACTGGCTTTAAAATTTCAATGTAGCCTGGAAACGCCAAAAATCGTATAAAGCTGACTCAAAAAACGAAAAAAATGCTTTAACTAATCATATTTTTATTACTTCATGCGTGAAGTTAACGATTTTACATAGTTGGAGATGCTTAACGTCAAATATCTTAAGGACTTGAAGTGGACATTTTATACGATACTTGATGAGATGAAAGTATAGAGTTGATAGTTCAGTTATAGGAAACGCCAAAAATCGAGCAAAACTCAAAAACCAATTAAATGGTACAAAAATGTCAAAACGGACTTTTTAGACTAGCTTTAAAATTCCAAAATGGCTTAAAACACCGAATATTGTCCATGTCAAAGAGAGAAAACGAGAAAAATTGAGCCAAAAAAGGCTCAAAAATGTCAAAATGGTCTTCACTTTCCGAACTTCCAGTACAAAATTCAGACCATTTTTAGCCTTTTTTCAGGTCAGTTTTGGCGTTTCCTACCATTTTGAATCGAGGGGGTTAGAAGGAAAGGAGTGTAAGTGACTTTGATCGACTCTCTTCATCGACTTTCTCTTTTGACCACAGCCACATAAACAGATTTTGCGCTATTTTTGCCACATAGTTTGATAAAGGAGGTGCTCATCTAACATCCAGAATGGCACACGAATCAAGGAATGTGTTTGCAGCTGAATTATTAACGAGAGAGAAAGTCGATGAAGTGAATCGATCAAAGTCACTTACACCCCTTTCCTTCTAAAGGCCGGCGCACAATGCATACGTTTTCGGGTTTTTTGACAGATAATACATGGGCTTACTGTCAAAGAACCTGAAAACGTATCTATTGTGCGCCGGCCTTAATCTCCTCAATTGTTAAATCCAGTTAGGAATGTCGAGGCCATTTTTGACATTTTTGGATCCTTTTTTGGTGGTTTGAGGACCATTTTGTCGTTCATGAGAGGTGTCGTTTTCAAGATTTTGAACAATTGTCTGGCGGTTTTCGTGATTTTAGGTTAGATTAGGTTAGATTTTAGGTTATTTTCGAAGCCTTTTCAGGCCATTTTATGATTTTAAAACCGTTCAGCTGATAACAGGACAGCTAGGCTATTGTGGGGCCAATTTTATTTTTTTTTCGTTTTAAAGGTTAAATAATTGGTGGACTCAAGAATACTTTGAGCGTTGTCAGAGCATTTTAAAAAAGCCATTTCAGCGATTTGAGGGCATTTTTGCGAATTTAGACCTTTGTCTGCATTTGAAAGGTATTTTGGCCCGAAGTCCATAAACTATCTTTGTGATGCTACTCATGGATAATTCTTTCAGAAATTTCGGATAATTTTGGCACATTCAAAGCTGTTTTAGAGAAATTTTGTCGTTTTTATCTTTTAGACTTGTTTGTTATTTTTTCGTTCGTCCAATTATGGCATTTTTATGCTTGTTTTTCAAAGCCATTTTGTGAGATTTTAAGGTCATACACATGTGCATATTGGTGGCTTATGAAATTTATCAAAGTGCGTCACAATCGACAAAAGTTTGCGAACCCTGAGTTAGATTATAATGTTCAATACTTTATCCGACTCATACGTACCCATGAGATAGTTATGACCTCAGCAAGAGTATATTTAGGTATAAGTTCTATAAACAATTCAACAACTCTGGAACGGTCAACGAAAATTAAAGTTTCATTAAGATATGTACAAGAAGAAAATCATACCGCATGGTATTATTTCCATCGAATTGTAATATTATACCCATCGTTGTTGCTACCCCCCAGATTGTCACGTCATATTCTCTCCAACCTTTATAGAAACTGAAACCAAACTTCAATTTACATACCATCGCATATAAGGCAGCAACCTACATTGGCCTGATGAAAACAATCAGGTGATATTTAAACGGCTCCCAGCGAGAGCAAGAGAGAGAGAAAAGGAGAGGTACGAGGAACAATAAATAGCGCAGCAGGACACAAACAAGACACCAATACCACCAATAGCTTCTAGACCGAGAGCGAGAGAAACTCGCTAGCATAGAGCAGGACCGGAAGGACGAATGTCCTGATGGTAAACGATGATGGTATTGGTGATGGCGATAGTAAAAACGTTGGATCATATGATTACGCATTGAGATTCACTCGTATTCTCCGAGCAATGGGAGCGAAACGAGGTAAAATTGATAGACGTCAAAAAATTGATACATATTAATAAGGAATGTAGCAGGTACGAGAAATCCAACTGGACAGCGATGCAAGGCCACTTACCCCATAAACCAGTCCACGGTGTCGCGCAGATATTCTGGAAGTCGCTCCAGTTTGACGGCTTTTTCTAGCTCTCCGGGTCACTCGGCGAAAATTGGCTCAATTTACCAACAGTACCACCACAGCAGATTCGTTTCTGCTTGCTTACGTTTTTATGTTCACCTTCTTCGTGCTTCACCCTCCTGCTACTACCACTTATCCTACTTCTTCTATTCTGCTGCCTAAGAAATCACTTGCTTTTCTCGATTTTGGCTTTCGCAACTCTTCTTTCTTTGCCTGAAATTTACACCAACGTCGTCGTGGTCGCGTCGTCACAACACAGACGTCGTCGTCGGTCGGATCTCGTTGCTGTTGCCACTCACAAAAAAAGTGCTGAGAAATACACTCTTATATAACAACGCACCACTTGGCTACTTTTCGTTTCCTATTTTCCCACTTTACTTCGCCTAGCAGTAGTTTGATCGAGGAAAAGTGCAACCGATTTTCCTTTTCCGATGTTCTTCTACACACACGGACACTTTTAGTAGACACTTTTTCGCTTACGATTTCATAATCTAGCCACAAACTGCAACGGCACTCTTTCCTTCTAATATTGGGACGAAAACAACATCAGCTAATTGCAAGTGTTTCCACGCAACAACAAAAATCGACTTGGGTCGAGAACACGAGAAGATTCTTCCTCCGGAGAGCGATGAGAGATTCGTCGTTCCAGCGCCGGACGTTTCCTCCGAACTGCTACTGCTGCCGCTGCTGGTTCAGATTCATTGATTTTTTTTTCTTTTTGACGTTTCGGGTATGTGCCTCCAGCCACACGAGGAATGTGGTAGCCTAGTTTCGCTTCTATGCTTTTTTTCGGGGGTGGCACCGTCAGGACGAAACGGTAAAACAGAAGGATACCGTAGAAGGAAATCCAGCGCACACACTGGCAAAGCCCCAAGGAAGAACACCCCCCTCGTTTGGTTCGCCTTACTTCTAATCACCACTACCACCACCAACAAACCGATCGACTACTGTCACACTATTGTAATAGTTTAGCAGAGGATGACTTTTGCTTTCTTCTTTTTTTTCCGATTGTGGGGCGTCTTTTAAAAATAGTAGCGCTCTCCCTACTTCACACGCCAAGGCAAAAGGGAAAAAACGGATCGAGATTCTTCTTTACTAGCAGCAGTCGAATTTTCCAAAATTGGAACGCACTCTTTCGAAATGCGACTCAACGACGAACGACGGATGTCACTCTTACGTTAGTTATTTTTTTTTATATTTCGTTTTCTCGAATTGTGTCGGGAAACAACAAAACACCACCAAAAGCTAGGCTAGGCACAAGTGTCGTCTGCTGGGATGATGACGGGAAATTTTCCCTGCTTCCGATTCGTTTCTTTTTTTTTATTGTTACGGTGCTCCTTGTTTTCCCGTGTCGTTTTGGGTAGGACTTACACAACATACGAATTTTTCAGCACGCTCTCTCGCGATTGCGTTACTGTTATTGTTGTTGTTGTTGTTGTTGTTGCTATTATTGCTGACCAACGTTTTCCTCTCGCAATCACTGGCTCTCAGTTCTCACGGGACGAGAGCAGTTTTGGCAGCGCGTTTGGGAAAATTGGAAAATTCTCGCACTGCGCGTGCATTACCGATGTCACACACTGTGGGCCGAATCTGAAAACATACGAAAAGAAAAGTGATGGTCAATAAGTTTTCGCTCAGGGTCATAGTCATTATGGCTCAAAATGGAATGCGGGGTGTTTTTTGTGTAATTGCCAATAATGTTCTACAGGGAAACAGGGCGACGAAAAATGTTTAAAAGGGGGTCACACTAGGCCAAATGAGCCATAAGCCAAAGTTTTGACAGTTACAGTAACAGGGCAGGGGAAATTTGATCCGCGAAATCCGCAATTTCTCAAAAGTAATCCGCGACTTCAAATACTAATCCGCGACAAATTAAAAATTGTATTCATTGCTTAAAAATACCATTTGTATTACTACTACATGGCATTTCAAACTTATAGCTTAGAGCATATTAGCATTTTGCCTGCTCTCAATTTAGTGTTGTTTGAAGCACTTCCACATTTTAATTGAGAACTGCCCAGCTGCAGGGGGTCTCGTTTGTACCTTTTGAAAAATATTAATAATGTATAATCTTCAGTTATTTATGTTCTTGGTAGTAAAAATTCCGAGTATTTAGTGAGCGTAATAAAACACCCTCACATTATAAGATTCTGTTGAATAAAAGCGGTCTGAAACTGAAACATTCTTTTAAAACATTTATGCATTTTAATTTGAAATGCAAATTAACTTGAAAACGATTAACAGTCAAATCCCAATAAGAAAAATGGTGCATAGAACGAATCAACATATAATAAATTTAAATTGAGGTGTTCATTTTTAAGAACTATAATACGGAGTATTTCAAAACAGTTTGGGGAATTGGGAATTGAATTATGATTTTCGAGGATAGTTTCAACAAAATTTTGAGGAAAATTTCTAATGAATTCTAAGGAGTATTTCAAGGATATTCCGGTAATTTTTTAGAAAGTTCTAAAGGAAGTTCGAGTTATGAGGAGCATATCAAAGAATTAATGAGAGTTCTGAGCAGAGCTAGAAAGGTGTTCCTATGGTAATTCGACGGTAACTTAAGAAGATTACTAATTGCATGCTGAGGAAAACTCCTAGTGAATTTTTCAGGAGTATTCTTCGGGAAATTGCTACAATTATTAATAATATGAAGAGCATTGAAAAGTGAATTCTAAGTGGTTTGCAGAAGATTTTCAAGATAATTATGGAGGAAATTATAAGAGAATTCAATTGTTCCATAAAAATTTTGAGATCCTCGACACAAATAGGATCAAGATTCAAGGTTTGGGGAAAAATTTTAATTCTGATGCTTAGATTTTTAAGATTTGATTCTTAGAAAATTATATAATGCTGGGTTTAAACAAATCAAAAAAAAAAACTACAAGGGACAGTCCTATACGATTGTACACAATGTTGACGTAGGACTACGTGGTCTTATATAATAAATCTTATTTGTTAACTGCAGCAGGAGCTTGTGTTTTGTGTAGGCATAGAAATTTGAGCGGGGTTCTCTCTGTTTATACTCTTTAGTATGACGCGCTTGACATAGATCTCACGAAGAGCTACTGATTCCGATCAATAGCGGTGCGGCTTCTTCCTCCTTCTATGGATGCTCATGTGGGCTGCAGCTCACTGCTTGCAGGCAGTCTTTCGTTGTGTACTGAAGAACACCACCGAATAAACACCGTTTGGTGAGACCGGATGGAATTCAAATTTGAAATCTGGGTTAGGGAAATCGTGTTTCGCAGGCAATCGGTGATAATTTTAATTATCTTAGCAGCAGTTACACATTCGTGCAATTTTCAACAGTAACATTTTGAAAACTGGTAAAGTCTTAATTTAAATAGATTCGTAGAAAAAAATCCTATCGATTGGCGCATTAAGAATTAAAATTCAACATCTCTGGACCAAATCAGACCACTTTCATACCACGACCGACTTTGGTTTTTGAAATTGCACCCCAATGTTGCTTTAAAGTACATGGTATGTTAGATTTAAACGTATCTAGATAGAGCTGGAATTAGGCGTAACAGCTTTTGTTAACAATGACTTCTCTCGATGATTTTAAGGAATTCAAGGCACGCCCACGCAACCCAACATTACCGTCGGGTAGGGGAAGTCTTACCCTACCTGATGGTGATGTTGATTTGCGTACGCGAGCCTTGACTTCCATGACATCATCGAAAGAAGTCATTGTTTACAAAAGCTGTTACGCCCTAATTCCAGCTATATCTTGATATGGGAACTGACATCCGATTGATGACCTTAAACAAATGTCAAAAAAAAATACTCTTTTACAAATTTATGGTGTTGGGTAAAAATCAACCAAATTTTGCGATCAATAGCGGTGCGGCTTCTTCCTCCTTTCACAGTTCAGTGAGACCGGACGGAATTCGATTTTGAAATCTGTGTTAGGGAAAGCGCTTTTTTGCAAGATAATTTTGATCACCATTGCACCAGTTGGACATTTGTGTTATTTTCAATAGTGACCTATTGAAAATTAATAAAGTGTTCATTTTAAATTTCCAATCGATTGGCTTGTTTAGAATTAAATCCATCCGCTATTAAAAGAGTTATATGTGATCAAAACCTGATCACTTTTCGTAACGCGGCCGATTTTTTTTTTAATTGCACCCCCAATATATTGCTGAAAGACGTAATCGTACGTCGAAAACACCTCAAGATCTCCAAACTATCCAGCAGTCCAGACCCTGAATGCTCAATAGGCCCAAAAAGGTTCTGCACGATGTCCCGACCCACTATATGAATCCGTGAAGCCCCATTAAGTCCCCGTGAATTAGTAATGCATAACCTTTTAGTGACTTGCTCACTTTTGTCAAGCCATTTACTAAAAGGTCCAGTCCTAGGGGCACGCAATAACCTTTAACTCCAACGCAGGCAACGGCTGTAATTAAATTAATTCCATTGACTACTGATTTAATTACATTAATTACACAATGTGTAGAACATTAACTACTTTTTAACTCCATTAATTACAGTTGAAATTTCGTAATTACAGTACATTAATTACATTTTTAATTACATTAATTACGGATCGATAATTTTAATTACCGTCAGTACTTCTTCAAAACGCATTAATTACTTTAAGTACTTTTAATTGCATTTTAACTTCAACGCACCGGTTCTTTGTATTGCGTGCCCCTCGGTCCAGTCATTAGTCATTTTTAGCGTGAATTTATTTCAAGATTAACCATTCTTCTTGCAGTGTGTAGGATCTCATAGTCCAATCGATACCTACATTTTGTTCTAATTTAGGAACAATTTGAAGGTGTTGAGAACTTTTTGACATATAATCGTGTTTCTATATATATCTACAGGGTATCTACTCATTAGGCTAAATAATTGTATTTGAGTTTTCCAGTTTTTTCTAGAACTGTAACGGATAATTTCCAGGTTTATAATAAGAGAAGAAAAGCGATACAAACATGCGATTTTTTTTTGTAAAATAACAACAACAGCAATTAACGCAAACGTTTTTAATTCATGACAATCAGTTTTACAATCAAATCCATTAAATGTTGAAGTTTAACACTTACTTAAATTTAATAAGCCTAGGATCTCAAAATATTCAATGTCTTGACGTTTCGTATACCATGCACAAGTTCAAGATATTGAAACTTTTCAAAGTGCCAGAATTAAGGAAAAAGTTATGAGTGATTTATTTTAAGTTTGAAATTAACTTTATGAAAAATTATAGATCTTCAGTGAAGTCCCATTGACTTCACATTAATTGTAAGAACTTAGGAAGTTTTAATGAATTAAATGAGATGCTCAGAATGTCTGCTTCATGAACAGAATGCGGGAACATAAGATAAGTTTACATCCTGAAAATATGGGGAGCTTACTGGAAGCTTTAAGAACCTCAAAGCGGTTCTATTAGCTTCCGAAAAACTGCAAGGACTCTTTAGAAGCTCCTAGAATTTCATAGAACTACATCGGTGTCAAGAGAACTTCAAAAATATATAGAACTTGAGGAAAATTGGGGAAACTTTTAAGAAGTTCCTTGTACCTCAGAAAAGCTAGATCTAGAGATCTTTGGGGATTTCAGAGATCTTAAGGGCAGGTCCCGTAACATTAGTTCAGACTTTTGGAGTAGCTTAAGGATCTATAAACGTGAGTATATAAAACTTCAGTATAGTTCCATAATGTGCTGGAAAAAAAAATCGACTACCCCTAAGATGTTCCGAGAATGTCAGGGAAGAACAGAAACCTTCAGAGAATTTAAGAAAACTTCGGAAATATTTCAGGAACTTCACCGAAGGCCAGAGAATTTCAGGGAAGTTTAAAGGGAAATTCCGGAAACTTCAGCAAAGCTACGAGAGAATTTCTACAATGCAATAAAAATTATATGAACATCCGGAAAATTTGAGAGTATTTCAAGGATGTTAGGGGAAATGGCTCTAATGTGGATCTAAGATTGGGCCCATCGCTAAAAATCTGCTATTTATCCATTTTATCTAGATGAACGCGTCATTGGGACGGTACTAATGGATATTTTTGGTCGCTATTCAAAATTAAGTCCATTGCTGAATTTATGCATGGGCTCAAATTAGGGGCATTTAGGCCGACATTTTTCCCCTATATCATGGAAATTTAAAAAAATTGTGAAAATTAAGTTGATTGGAGAACATTAACGAAGCTCCTATCTTCAAGAAAACCCAGAGAACTTCTAAGAAATTTAGATATTTTTAGATAGTTTAATTCCGAAGTAAGTTCCGAATACTTCGAGGACGACCAGCTAACTTCAGAACAATCCAATTAACTTAAGAAAATGTCCAGCAACGAACAACGAGTTCCGTTGAATTATGGGATATTCCGAGAATTGTATGATTGATCCGAAAATTTCAGAAACTTTAGGGAATTATAAATATGTATCAGAAAATTTTCCTGAACATGAAACAAATTCAGATAACTTCAGGTAAGCATAGGAAACTTCAGGGATGTCCAGATAAGTTCAGGGAAAATAAGTAATTTAACACAAAGTTCCGGGAGCGTTTGTAAAGTCTATAAAACTTAAGGAAAATTGTGGAAGCTTCAAGACAATTCCATTAATTGCAGTGAAA